AGGCTAAAAAATAAAAATAGATGATACAACATTCAAAATCTTGTCATTATGTGCTTATAGAATTTATATACTTCAAATTGCTTTATTTGGTGAAATCTATTCTATACACATTAAAATCTTTATATATACTGTGTGTGTGTGTGTGTGTGTGTGTGTGTGTGTGTGTGTGCTGGAATCATCTAGAAAAGTAGCTCAAATTACTTGATCCACATGAAGTCCTCTATGGGCTTCTTCTTAAAGTCCTTTTATTAAGTTAAATTAATTATTTTTTTTCTGTTAAATTCATATACTGCATCAATATTTGCTACCACCAAAGAAGAGACATAGCAAAAATTACAAAGAAATCCTTTTCTATAAAAGAGCAAAACCAAAACATTAAAGAACACTTCTGCCAGAGATCAAAATCAAACAAGTTGTTTGATAGACTTTTAAGTTTTTTGAAAGTATGTATGCATTGAACTAATTTAAAAAGTGGTTCTAATTGAAACCATACTGGAATCAACAACTAAAATTAGTTGCCATTTTACAGTTAGGGAAGCAAAAGAAAAGAAAGCAAGTTACTTTCTTTGACCAAAAAATTGCTAGAATTAGGGCTGAGGTTTGTAACATAAAGTTTTCTACACAAACCAAAGTTATTAACTTGTTAAATAGTTAACTTAGTTAACTAATATTAAAATAAAGACGAGTCTTTTGTCAATTGCTAGATGACTGATACTTATATTATTATTATGAGTCTTTACCCATTAATCTTTATTATTTAACTTTCTGATATAATTGTCTATTATGTTATAACTCCATGAAATAGATATAACCAAGGCAGGAATTTAGACAATAAGAAATTTTCTAGCAAATCATTTATGAGACACTACTGCTTTGTAGACACTAACTAATGATAACTGAGCAGCATTTTAGTGAATATATATTTATCTTTTACCTTAAGAATGAGTTTTCAGTGATTTATCACAGAAACATAGAACTGAGTTCCATATGTTCTCACTCATAAGCTGACCTTGGACAATTACAATGCTATAAGAAAGCAACTGAGAGTAGTGGGAAACTGTGGGGGGGGATTGGCAGTTGAGGGAAACTGCTAGGGGAGGGAGGGGCATACCTCATCCACAAGGGTACCTGCATGATCAAAGTTTATGTACCTAAACCTGAAATGTACCCCACATCTTTATAATAAAAATTAAAAAGAAAAAAGAATGAGTTTTAAAAGAAAAACACGAGGATTTCTGTGACTTCTCTCACTGTCTTACACTTGTGAGTATCCTAGAAACACATGTAATAATATAAATACTTTGAAACCTACATCTTTCAGTATTCTTGTGGGTCTCACAATTCTTTTGCCCCCCAAGAAATGAAAGAAGTGATTTTGGGGTTTTTTGTTGGTGGTGGTGGTGGTTTTTTGGTAGAGACAAAGTATTGCTTTGTTGCTCAGACTGGAGTTCAGTGGCGGAATCACAGTTCACTGCAGTCTCAAACTCCTGGGCTCAAGGTATCCTTCTAACTCAGTTTCATGAGTAGCAAGGACAACAGGTGGCTACCTTTTTTCTTTATTGTAGAGATGAGGTCTCGCTTTGTTGCCCAGGATGGTCACGAACTCCTAGCCTCAAGTGATCTTTCCATCTCAGTGCTGGGATTACAGGCATGAGCCACTGTGCCAAATTTTTTTCTCTACAAATCATAAGATATATTCAAAGGTCTAAAATATCATGTGTATGTACAATTGAGTGTTTTTTAAACTCTCTAGTGTTATTTTGTATTTTATTTAGTAAAAGAAAATCCAATAAAAGATATTAACATGTTCTTTAATGTCTTTAAATACATAATTCTACACCTCCAACTGACTTTTTTACCATTGACTTTTTATGTGTTTTGGAATAGATAATCCCTTTTCTACTAGTAAATAACCTTGGGCAAGTCAGCTCCTTCAGGTTCTGGCTTCCTCATCTGAAAAAATGAAGTATCTAGACTGGCCGGGCTTGGTGGCTCAGCCTATAATCCCAGCACTTTGGGAGGCCGAGGCGAGTGGATTGCCTGAGCCCGCGAGTTCGAGACCCACCCAGGCAAACTGGCGAGACCTCGTCTCTACAATAAATAGCCGGGCATGGTAGCGCATGCCTGTAGTTCCAGCTACTTGGAAGGCTGTGGCAGAAGGATTGCCGGAGCCCAGCAGGTCGAGAATGTGGTGGCCGGAAACGTGCCACTGCACTCGAGTCTAGGAGACAGAGTGAGACTCCAACTCAAAAAAAAAAAAAAGTATCTAGACCTACATGAATTCTGGAGTCCCCTTGCGCTTTAAATGCAACTCTGTGATTATATAAAATAAACATTTTTAAAAAGCTTTAATGTTATTTGAGATCAATAATGCTAAGTTTCCAACTTGAAAAAATAGGAAAATTTTAAGATTTGAGATTTCTAAAAGTGTCAGTTCCCATTAATTGCAAACAAGGGAAAAAAATCAGTTAACTGTTCGCCAGGACTGGCACTGCTCAGTTATCTGCATAGGAAAATAGATGCAGGTATACATATTCTTATGCACAGCTACTTGTTGTAACAAAAACACAAAACTGGGGATTATTTGACCTGATGTTGTGACTTTAGTAAAAGTCAAGAGCTAATGCAAATGGCATCTCATTATAAAAAGTGTTGGTCTTCAAGACTAACCTGGTAAATCGTAAGCTGTCAGCTACTTCCTCCCTCTCAAGTAAACATTATCAGCAAATCTAATCCCAGACTTGATACTGTATTATTGTTTTTGCCAACTGCCTCATCTTCATCATTTTGGACAGATGGTTTTCTTTTTTATCTTCATGGTAATTTTTCATTGTCTAAAATTCAGTCTTTCTTAATACCCTATTTTAATATCTATCAGACTTAGGAGCAGAATATTCTTACTTATAACCAACCAAATTTTTACTTCCTGTTGACTAATTTTTTTATAATTGATATAGCTCAGCACCCCCTTTAAAAGTCTGTTACGACTAAAACTCACTGATTGCCAGTTTGGTCCCAACTATCAGGGGTACAAATACAAATTTGATTTTCTTTACCCTCTAGTATATCCAGTTCCTTCCTGAGATATAGTACTCAAAAACAGGACACAGGATTCTATTATTTAACTACTTATTTGTTCAGTAAATTTTTGTTGCATCCTTACTACATGTGAAGCACTATTCTAAGCATTCATTGTTTCCAATAGAACATCTTATGATGATGGAAATATTCTATATCTGCTCCGTCCAACATGGTAGCCATTAACCACATATGTCTATAGAGCCCCTGAAATGTGGCTAGTGGGTCTGATGGACTGAGTGTTTTCATTTAATTAATAAATTTAAGTCGCCACCTGTGGTTCTTAAGACTTTTACATTCAAAGGAGAGGAGAGAAAGAAGTAATTTGAAAAATAAACAGGGTAATTTAAAGTAGTGGTAAGTGGTAAAAGGAACTGAAACAAGAGGATATAGTCACTGTTAGATCCTGTGCAGTGGAGGATTGGGACAAGAAAGAGTGGTAAGATACCATTTCAGAACAAGGATGGGAAGACTTCTATTGAAATGACATTTGACCTGAAATCAAAAGATGAGAAGACCACAATATAAGGAACTGAGAGAAGAGCATTACCAGAAGGATTAGCAAATGCAAATGCCCTAAGGCAGGAACAAAGTTAGTGTATGAAGGGGGAAATGCAATGTTATCTGGAGCAAAATGTGCAACAGAGAATGAGGCTAAAGAGGGAGACAGGGACTAGATCACTAAGTCCACTACTGACCAGTGGTAGGAAGTAGGAAACAACTGAGGTTCTTTAAGCAAAAATGTGATCTCTCTGGAATATAGATTGTAGTAGAAAAAAAGCTGAGGCACAGTGACCAGATAAAAAGCTATTCCATTTGCTGTTTGGTCTAGAGTGGTAGCAGCGAGAAAGGTGAAAAGTGAACGAATTCCAGGAAAATCCTGGAGGAAAACTCAACAAAGCTTGGTGATAGAATTAGTATAATAAAGTGATCACTTTCTAAACATCAGATGTCATAATCCTCTTCATTTAACATACTGTTGAATTTTTATTTAACACTCTACAGTGCTGACATTTATTCAACTCTAATAACCATGTTCTCTATTGTTACTCATATAAACAAACGACTTTCAAAGCATCGTATGATTTGTCAAAGTTTGATACTTCAGAAAAATGCATTAATAAATACCTACAAATGCTTGGTTTGAAAAAAGATTTTCATTTTGTCATATTCTGCAAATAAGATTTATCATGCTAGAGTTATGAGTTGATTATGTGATGTCTGTGTCTCGATAAATTATTCCTGGCTTTCTACTTAGGTGCAGTATGTGTGGTTTATTGCGAGAGCAGAGCTGAGCAGAATTCCAGTACATATGTTCATGCAGGGGCCATACACATGGCTAGTCAGTGTATATAAGGGTTTTTTTGTACCCAGTCTCTAATGTCTTGGCATTACTTTTATTATGTCTGCAGTGCTCGTGTAGATGAAATGCCACAACACATTCTTTTACTATTGTAGCCTTTTTTTTTTTTTTTAAAGAAAGAGCAATTACCATCATAAAAATTCCTTACTGGGGAACTTTCCATATTGCGTTATCATTCCGTGACTCTAATAATATTGGAATATAAAGAAAAATTTTAAAGAAAATACTAAAATATCTAAAAAAGACTTTGAGGTCTGTAGCTAGTTCCATAATGAGAAACACTAAAAATGCAGAGAAGGAGAAACCAAGGAAAAAGAAGCAAAGTAAGGATTTTTAGAACTGCTGATACATGTTAGAGGTTTATAAATCATGGCCTAAGATAATTCACAAATCACATGCACCTTGCCAATGTCTAAACACAGTTAAAGAACTATCTGTCTGTTATCTGTTGGGAGGATGCTAATGCCTATAATTGGTCATTACCTGACCCTATGTATTTCTATCCTGATAGCTCTATCTGCCTAAAAGCTAATTCTGTGTTTTCTGTGAAATCTTGCAGTGGTGTTATCAGGGAGATTGTGTTCCTTTTGGCACTTGGCCGCAGAGCATAGATGGGGGCTGGGGTCCCTGGTCACTATGGGGAGAGTGCAGCAGGACCTGCGGGGGAGGCGTCTCCTCATCCCTAAGACACTGTGACAGTCCAGCGTAAGTAGCTAAAGTAAGCCGGAGCCAACAAAAAGACACAGTTGGAAATGATTCAAAGCTGTGGTTTCACATGTTATCTGTAAAAACGTTTCACTAGTGAGCCAAGTGCTTGTCTTCAGAACAAGCAATAGGCACAGGAAAGTGGAGGAGCTTTGTTAGACAGACTTTCTTTTTCTTCCCTTTCCCTTATTGTGTAACTAAAAATAAAACTAAAAAAATTAAAAAGTGTATCTGTCCCAGATAAGCCAGACTTTTAATCTAATAATAATCAGATAGATTTCCTCCTCCAAAAACTACTGAATAATGGATGAATCCATTTCTGGTCTTAGCTACATTACTATTATTCCCAGGAAACCTAAGGTCTTTTCACATGTCACATAAAATTATTACTGCTACATTAGTATTAAAAGGACCAATGAGAGCACTTCAAGGGTTGAAATGCCTTGATTCGCATCACAAATCACAATGAAAAGAATACTGCCCATGTGTTAAAATAGTTTCCATTCACATGCCCCCATTAATCATCTTCCGGAGCTGCCACCACTTTTCTCCCCATGACTGTTTTATGCAGGTCAGACTGCTCCTCTCCCACCGCTCTTTTCTCCAGTCAGAGTCTCCCTGGCGCGAGGCCAGCCCCATCCGTATTCTTTGCTAGCTCTGTTGCTTCTCCCTCCCATCAGTGCCCAGTGCCCATTACAGGTGGACTGTTCCACTAGTTGTACTTTCCTGTCCTCCCTGAGGCTAAACTGCTCCTTAGCTGCTGCATGTCAAGTGCGATTTTGATCTAGAACTCAGTATGAAGGCCTTCTTTCCTGGCTCATAATTTGATGCAGACACTTCATGTTATGATGACACTTCTACTTTTTGTCTCCCTTTGGGATAGAAGATGGTCTATTTTTATTTTTTACTTTTCTCATTTTAACTCAGGACCTCTCTTTTTTCTTCTCTCCAAACGTCTGAGTTTTTAAAAATTACTTTTAGCTTGAAAGTGTTTTGCTTTATATTAGTTCTGTGCTTCCATTCTCCCACTTTCTACCAGTTATTACCCTTCTGCAAAACAGAGCTTCCTGTTACCCACCATGTTTTTGTCTGACCAACACGATTTCTGTGAAGCTGGTTCAAGTGAGCCATTTTATTTTCTTGCTGAGAGTCAGTATTCACTGCCATTAAAGATACGTTAAAAATGTAGCTTTAATGATACCATTGACGCTAGTGAGCCCAAAATTATCATTTAAACTTGATCTTTTTTAAAACGTGCATATTAATTAATCTAAGGTCAACTGAAGGAAGGCTGCTATAAATTAATAACCAAAGGTATAAAACCCCATGATAAATAATATACCCATATAGTTAAGAGAATGACCTGAACCTCTTTTAAAAGAAAAAAATTAGGTTTTTTTTCCATTTAATGATTATGTGCTCAAATAATAGCATATCATTTTCCCTACTGTTAAATACTTTAGAGATTAACTTATGTAAATCAAATATTTGGCATCCTACTTTTTTATTAATTTTAAATTTGTTTTTGCATTATTTACTTTGAGCTGAAGCTATTTCCAGGGAGTTACAAAGTGTCTTCTTTGCTTCCTGTTTGGAGAAACACAGACTTTCCATTTCCTACTCAGTGAACATGTAGCATCAGACTATGAATTCTGTTGAATATGATTTAAATGACTTTTTGTTATAAATAAGTTATTTTTAAACTCATGTTGAACTGAGTACTATGATAATTAGAAAATACATTGATTTAATTTCTTGAGAACCTAATTCATGACACATAAGAGTCTTCTAAATTGCTCATAGTAAATTGCTTTAATTTTTATGTTCAACAACCATAATATTTATTGTTGCTGGTAATCCCCAGCATGAACTATTTTAATAATTAATAATATGTCAAATTGTATATTTCCTTAAGCTTTAATATGTTTTCATCAAATAATATATGTATTCTTTGTGTGACTGGATATATTATATTCACATGTTAAACAAAATGTTTTTTTCAGACCTTCAGGAGGTGGAAAATATTGCCTTGGGGAACGGAAACGGTATCGCTCCTGTAACACAGATGTAAGTAAAACCAAACCAAACTCTATTATGAAAAATTAGCTTACTTTTCCTGTAGAATAGGGAGATTTTTTAAATTGCAAGCTGTTTGACAAGAAATCCATGTGTGTGAGGGTCACATGAATTTTCTAACTTAATAATGAATGGAACTGGCCTAAGATCCGTCAAGTCCATCAACAAGGATGGGCGGGGGAGGTCCAGCACTAAGAGCAAGTACATCCTTCCACAATAGATATCAAGAGCAAGACATACACTGAATCTTCCCCACACACTCACAACTTTACCACCACTATCTTTCTTGAGTCCGCAGAATTAATCCTATTACACCCTTATGCCATCTTGTGTTTGCCACTGCGAGAAGCCCCAGACTCCCACATCATGCCTCATGTCTTGCCATCCAAGCGATAAGACACTGTAGGTCTCCTCTTTTCTTTTTTTCTTTCCGTACCCAATGATTGAGACTCTTCTGTTCCCCCAATAATTCAAAATCCCTCATACTCTGACTTCTCTGAATTTTCCTCCCCGTTACTTTTCTTATTCTGCTGGAAAATGGTTCTTCTCTGAAAATCTGCTTCCTCGATAGTTTTCAGACCAGGGATTCCTGTTTTCTCCCTTAGCCCCTGAATGACTGGGCTTGGAAGTGGATTGACTATACCTTATTATTCGTTTACAGATAATCCTTTCTTTCACTATCTAAAAACCACAGCGGTTTTTTGTTTTTTTTTTTAGTTGGAGTCTCACTCTGTCGCCCAGGCTGGAGTGCTGTTGCATTCTCACGGCCACCCCAGTGTTGACCTGCTGGGCTCAGGCAATCCTTCGGCCTCGGCCTTCCAAGTAGCTGGAAATGGAACTACAGGTGCACGCTACCGTGCCTGGCTAATTTTTTGATTTATTGTAGAGATGAGGTCTTACCAAGTTGCCCAGACTGTTCTCGAACCCATGGGCTCAGGCAATACCGTCACCTCGGCCTCCCAAAGTACTGGGATTACAAGCTTGAGCCACCACGCCCAGCCAAAACTACAGTTTTTAATTCATACCATTAAACTGTTAACCCACTCTCCCTCACTTTCATGTTCTCCAACTCTACTCCTGTCTTAATTCTTAGTGATTTCATAAATATGTAAATGATTGTTCCAATATACTCTCTTCTGGATTTTTCGATAAGCATATGAACATGCTCCTATCTAAAAACAAATAAACCAAAAAGTCATGTCAGTTATTTTTCCATTTCTTTGCCCCTCTTTGAAACAAATTTTCTCAAAAGACTTGACAATATTTACTGAATGCAATTCCTCTCGTTTCATTTTTTTTCTAAAATTTCTCCTGTCAGTTTTTTGCTTCTGTGGTTCTTTTGAAATGCTCTTGTCAAGTCACAGACAATTTCTATGTTGCTAAATCCAGTATTAAATTCTGAGTATTCATCTTATTTGACTTCCAGTAGGCTTCCAGGACACAACAACATTTGACTTTTCTCTTACATTACTGCTTACTCTTCTTTTTCTTTTGCTGGATCCTACTCTTTACTCTGACCTCTTAATGTTAGAGTACTCAGGGGTTAGTCCTTTGCCTTTTTCTCTGCTCTACCAGTACTCATTTCCCTGGTGATCTCATCTGATTTCATTGCTTTTGTACCATTTATTTACCATTTGGTCCCCAAATTTATATCTTCTACTTATACTTCTTTCATGGATTCCAGATCCATATCTTACTACTTAATTAGACTTTTATTAGACTAATATTTAACATGTCCAAATGTTATTCCCAAAACATTTTTACAACCTATTCCTCCAGAAGTTTTTCACATCTCAGATGTCAACTCCATTTGGCTTAAGCCAAAAATCATAGATCCTAGAGTCTTTCTTGACTCATTTTTTTTTTTGTCTCAAAGTCTATCTCCAATTTCTCAGGAAATCCAGTTGGTTTTACCTTTAAAATATGTGGTAAGTGCTTCTTAATACCTTTATTGCTGCTGCTGTGATCTGAGTTGCCATTGTCCTTCACTAGATTACATTAATAGCCTCTTATGAGGGCTTCCTTTTATTACTCTTACTCCCTGTAGAGTGAATCAGATTGTCCTTTACTCAAACCCTCTAATAGCTCCCATCTCACTTAAATCAAAAGTTCAAACTAAGGCCTGCATGGTCTATACAATCTGACCTCATTACTTTTCTTAACTCATCTCTTAATATTTTCTTCCTCATTCATTCTGCTCCAGCAACTTGGGCCTTCTTCCTTAATCATGCCAGACGTGATCTCACCTTTTGCCTTGACTGTTCCCTCTGCCTTGTATACACGTCTACTAAAATATCTATGTAACTAACTTTTTCACCCCCCCTTTACTCGGCCTTTACCTTCTCAATGAAGATTAGCCCATAAACTGTGTTTAAAATTGCAAACTCTCCCTGCTCCCTGCAACTTTAGGACTTCTAATCTTTACCCTGCTCTATTTTCCTCTCATACTGCCTTCTAATATATTCTATAGTTTATCATATTTAATTCTATTGAACTTGCATCTTGGGATAATTATATGTAGCTTTAAGCTTCAATTATAATGATCTTTTCAAGCTACTAGAATTATTTATTCAAAAAATAGTGGAATGCTTACCCTATGTTAGTCTGTGCTAAGGTGAAAAAGACAGTATCTGCCCTCAAGGATCTTATAATTTTTTGGGAAATCACTTAAGCACTGAAAATCATAATATGGAATGATAAGTAATATGAGGAGCTATGAAAGCACACAGAATGGCTTCTAGATGAATTAGGGATTTAGGGACTTCTTCCCATAGGCAGCTAGAGGCATGAAGGGCAAATTGGAGCTGACCAGAAAAGAAAAAGTGACAATGAGAGCATCTTAGAGGAAAATTAAGTATAAGGCCTAGAGGTTAAGAAGTGTGATCTTTATCTTGAGGCATTAAGAAACCATTGAAAGCTCCTCAGATTCATTCTTTAAATGATAATGATTGGAGAAAGACAAGATTATAACCGAACAATAAATGAAGAAACATTTAAGGATATTAGTAAGAATGATTGAAGTAGCATGGACTCTACACACTGGGAATGAAAGTAGAGTCTGAAGAAGGGTAAGAGGGAGAAAGTTAAGGACTTAACTTTAAAAACCTATAAAAGTCAAAGATGTAAATAGGAGAAACAAAAATGTAATAGGAGAAACAAAGTGAGGGAAATAGAAGGTGAGATCAGAGAAGGAAATATATTTAAATTTAAGATATGACAAGTGAGAATATCTCAATGATGACAAATCTGGAGTGTGACCCTGGGAGTACATACTCAAGCAGAGTAGAGGTAAATGAGTTCAAAGAACCATAAAGCTAGTGGGGGGCAGGGGAAGTTCATGCAGATATTGAGGTCACTGAGGATGGTTATGAGAACTTAGAGTGTAGAGTGACACTGTGAACCAGGTCTCAAATTCCTTAATAAAAGAGGGAAAGTGACCCCCGTTTATTAAGCCAGATGAGGTGAAGCTTGGTCTGAATGGTATGAATTTCTGAATTGAAATTTTATATAAGGGTAGAAGACTTGGATACCTACGTTATATCAGACTTTCAGGTAGGAGTAAGAAAATCAAACCTACCTCTTAATTCTCAACTCCTTACATTATTATCTAATTATAGAGGTAGGTATACATTTTAAGTCCTAATATTATAAATACTATATACTCTAGGTAACAGAAAAAGAAAAGAAAAGTGCCAGACATCTCAGGCTTGTTGCATTTTACTCATGAGTTTTATGTCAGGGCTCCAATTGTGGAACTTACTATTGGTGGGTTGATACTGCTATTACTAGATTTGTCTTCTGTTTCATTTCAGCAAATTATAAGGAGATGCAGTTAACATAACCATATTGTGGATACATAAATAAATAATTATGTTTTCTCTATGTTGACTATGTTTTCTTCTAATGTTGACTCTACTAGTTCAGAACTTGAAGCAGTTCAACTACCATACTGAAATTTATTTTCATGCTATGCAAGTTAATAAAATTTCCTGATCATAATTTTTGTGAGCTGGGGCCTACTTTAATGTACTCTAATACATGAAAATTTAAATTTTCAAAACCACCTAATCTAGCACTGTCCAATAGAACTTTCTTTAATGATGGGAATATTCTATATATGTACCATCTAGTCTGGTAGCTACTAGCTAAATTAGCTGTTAAGCACTTAAAATATGGCTAGTGCAACAGAAGAATGAAATTTTAAAGTTTAATTAATTCGAGTTTGAATAGCCACATGCCCAGTGTCAACCATACAGGGTGGTACAGAGCTCGATAGTCTAGCTACGCAACAGAAAAATAATTGTTAAAAAAAAAATCGTAGGCCAGCCGTGATGGCTTATTCCAGCACCTTTGAAGGCCAAGGTGGGAGGATCACTTGAGGCCAGAAGTTCAAGGTCAGCATAGCAAGGCTGGGCAACATAGCAAGACTCTGTCTCTGCAGGGCTTTCTAGCATGTGTCTGTAATCCCAGCTACTTGGGAGGATCTCTTGAACCCAGAGTTCAAGGCTGTAGTGAGCCATGATCGAACCACTGCACTCCAGCTTGGGCAACAGAGGAAGGCTCTGTTCCAAAAAAATTGTAAATATTATATATAAAATTCTTAAAACAAGTTCACTTTAAAAATAAGTATAGACATATAGCAACTTTTATTTTTGGCAATAGCAGACTAAGTTATTCTGACAGAACTTTTTTTTTTAATTGCTGAATAAGATTTTTTGAAAATCACTTAAAAATCAGCAAAAAGCTGACAACATAGTGAAGGACATGCCAAAAGGTCAAGTTCTGTGAGAAACGGGAACACAAAAAATTAGAAGAGTGTCAGGGCGCCTAAAGTACTTTTGTCTTGACAATATTGAGAGGAAAAGAAAAGATAAACTACTCCAGCTGTTTTTCTTAAGTGTTAAGAAGTTGTTCCCATATCTCCTCTTTTGCTTCTTAGCAGATGTCCTTCATGTTTTACTTACCTGGAGGCTACACAGCCACCTTTAAAC